TTTTTTCTGCAATCAAAGTGCATTTAAACACTAAATTACTTAACGTCTAATTTATATGCATTGTTTATTCTCGCCTACAGCCATTGATTTGCAACTGGACACCACGCAATTGAGTGCCGAGTCTACAACTACAACAACACACAAGCCGGCCGGCGGCATGCACACGCCATCGCCGAGCTTAAGCGGCGGCAAGCCACAACGCATACTCTGCTGTCCCGACTGCGATGACCGTAAGTTGAAAAAATACAACAACAATAACGAAAACAACTTCACGTATAATAATAACATAATAGCGCCAACAACAAATTAATAAATACTTGCATGTATGATATAAGCGGACATGAAAATGTGAATTGCGTGTGGAAAATGATTGGAAAATTGAATGCAAACTAGCTTACTAACTAATTCAATTAACTGGCATTAACTAAATTTTTTTTCTTTTTTTTTTGCATTTTATTTTTATTTTTTTTGTTTCGATTCAACAGCTTTCAATGAAGACCATGCGCATGCGCAACCATGCGCACCACCGCAGCAGCAACAACAACAGGAACTGCAAGCGCAAATGCAACACCAACAGCAGCAGCAGCAACAACAACAACAACACKGTGACTTCCTCCAACAATTAGAGGACGAAAGTGCATTTGAGGAAGAAGAACAACAACAACAACAAAGTGRCGAACAATCACTGCAACACCGCGCCAAGCGCGCACACGTCACGCTGCCCTCACCCGAACAAACGGAACCCGACAGCACCTCCACCAACACCGGCACACTGCGACATTTTCGCAAGCGACGCGCCAGCGCCAAATTGGCTGGCACGCCGCTCCAACAGCCAGCTGGTAGTGTTGGCGGCGGCGGTGGCGACGGYAATGCCAATGCTGCCGCTGCGCTAATGGCGGACAATGCGAACGCCAGCGAAGATGAATTGCTGCTAATGGAACGCGTCTTGCGCACCAGTCATAATTGTCTCTTCTGCGATGCACGCTTCACCAATGACATAGCGTTGCGCAAACATCATCAGCTGGCGCACAGCAATCAAGCCTCCATGCCGTTTGTTTGTTCGATCTGTAAGCGCGGTTTTCGTATGCGCTCCGCCCTCCATCGTCACATGGAGACACACGATAGCGAGGGGCGGCCATACGAGTGCACGTTGTGTCATGTGCGCTTCCCGCGCCCCTCCCAGCTGACGTTGCACAAATTRACGGTGCATTTTCTGCGCAAACCGCATGCCTGCGATGTGTGTGGCAAGCAATTTGGCACGGAGAGCGCACTTAAGACGCATAGCAAATTTCATGCAGGTAAGCTAAGTGGTTGCAACGCATGCGCGTGAACCTATATTATACACATATTGTATATGTACATACATACATACATACATGTCATATATGAGTTAAGTGCATTGCTGCGCCGCCGACTGACAGCTGACTGGCTGGCAGCGCTCAGTCGGTTGGCTGGCATTTATTGTTTAGTAAATAAATAAATGTGCATCAAGTACATAAATAAATGCAGACACATACACACATGCGTGCATAAATCCCGTAAACTCCAATTGTTGTAAACAAAAAGTGGCGGTGAAGCTCATTTTGCTGCCGCTTAACTCCTCACATTTGTTGTTGCTTTTTGGTTTTGTGTTTTTTTTTGCTAGTTTTGCTTAACATTGTCGATTGTGAGTTATTAAGTCGTTAAATGGCTAATATATTTCCATTACTATACACTAACACTAACGCTAACACTAACTGTAACTCTAACTCTATTCGCCGCTACTTCCCGACTATTTTCCGTCTATTACCAACACTACAACAACAACTAGTATTGTTACAATGTATTATATTGCCTTACTACTGTCGGCACTACTCCTTTGGGCCAGCTTACTGCTTTCCTTCACACCCTGTTTAAAACACGCGCTGTGCGCCGTCGCCAGTTTGCATGCTCCAGCGAACTTATGAGCGCGTAGCCAACTATTTGTGACAAACTTTTTTTTGTTGTACTTGGAAAGCTTTTTTTTTTTTTATACAAACAAAACAACAAACCTATTGCTGTTGTATAAATTTTTTTTTTTTTTTAAGTTCTCTAAATTTTTTTTTTTTTTGTTTTGAAAACTTGCGCCTGGTGCTTTTTTTGCAAAAAGCACACTTAATTTGAAATAATAGCTACAACAACAACATTAGCTCACTTTTTTCCTCATTTTTTGCGTTTTTAGTTTTATTGCTTTTTTAATCTACACTCTATGTTTGTAACAAGTTTATCTAAATTATGGCATACATGCATACAGGCAATACATACRTACATMCTTATTTATAATTACTCCACTATTGCTATTGCTATTTTCTATTTGCTTGACATCACATGACGTTTAGCGGAAATGTACAAAGAAGCAAACAAAAACAATTTATAAGCTTARTGCTTTTAATGGCTCGGTGAAAATGCGGTAATCGCACGCTGCGTGTGTCAACCCGCATAAACCAACAACGTTGTAGCGCCAGCTGTCATAATTTGCCATAACATTCGCCTTTTCCGTTCAGTCCACATATACTTACATACATACATATATGTTTGTATATATATATACATACATATGTATTTATGTACTATATATACTTTCTGCATTTTCTTTTAATTGCTTCATGGTTTGGCGCTTATGGGTTAGACATGTTTATTATTTACCACTGTTGTTCTCAATTAAGTCGTCGCCGTAATGATGAAGATGCGCAACTTGSCGTGTGTCTAAAGTATCATAAAGTGTCACACATACAGGCATACATAATTGCGGCTTCAAGTTGTTCACGCTGCAACGGCGTCAGGTGAAGTCACATTACAGACACACACAATCCAGCATTTGTCATGTCTTTGCTCTACTTCTATGTCAAAGAATCATTAACTCCACTTTAATTAACTGTATAAGTGGAAGCTTCAGAGTGTCATTGACATTACCGTGATTTACTKCATTTTTTCATTATACTATCWGCGAACTAAGAGCAGCTTTTTGKATAATATRTGAAGAAAATGTAAACAGAAAAATKTTCATAAAATAATTTTGATTTATGTCGAAATAATGTCGAGTTAAAGACCTCAAAAGTGAAAGCTACTTGTGTAATTTGGAAGAATTTATGCRTAAAAATTTTCATTTGAGCTCTTGTACCGTTTAATCAAACAAAAGTGAAAGCTTTTTGCGCTMTTTGAATGAAGTTACGCTTACAAACTTTCCTTCGAGCTTTTCTGCCATCTAGAGCAAAGARAAGTRAAAGCTTCTTGCGCTAKTCGATATAAATTTTGCTTAAAAMCTYTCCTTGAAGCTTTTCTACCATGTAGAGCAAATAAAGTTGAAAGCTTTTTGAATGAAATTACGCTTACAAATTTTGCTTCGAGCTTTTCTGCCATCTAGAGCTAAGAAAAGTGAAGGCTTCTTGCGCTATTTGATAGAAATTGCGCTTACAAACTTTCCTTCGAGCTTTTATACCATCTAGAGCAAACAAAGTTTCTTACAAATTTTCCTTCGAGCTTTTCTGCCATCTAGAAAAAAAAAGTGAAAGTTTCTTGCGTCATTTGATACAAATTTTGCTTAAAAACTCTCCTTGAAGCTTTTCTACCATGTAGAGCAAATAAAGGTGAAAGCTTTTTGCGTCATTTGATAGAAATTACGCTTGCGAAATTTCTTTCAAGCTTTTCTACTATCTAGAGCAAACAAAAGTGAAAGCTCCAGTGAATGCTCTTTGCATCATTTGAGAAAGCTTACATTTACAAATTTCATTTGAGCTTTTATATCGTCTATGTGAATCATTGTATGCTAAATGTGTGATATTTCTAAAAAGTTTTATCAAGTTCAATAATAATTTTTAAATTTGCWGCTAATTTTATGTGAATAGTGAAAGCTCCTGAAAGCTGAATATTGAAGAGTTGCATTTTTCAAAAGCTAATGTTCCAATACAAAATTCCTTCTTATTTTAAAGCTTTTCGAGAATATTCCTTTAAAATTTGTATATGTGTTCCAACGAAGCTCTTTCTATGACAATTTTATACAGACCAGCTTCTAATATACAGCTTTATTCATTATGACGTTTGAAGAAATATATCAGACATTTATTTTTATCAAGAAATTCAGCAAAACTTTAATGTTTTTCTCYTATTTAATTTAATTTGTTTTTAAAYACATTTTATTTTTATTTTGCCATAAAAAACTATAAAGTTTCTGCATTAGTTTTATCAACAATAAAACCAAAAAAAAAATTGCTTTATGTATTTTTTATATACATAAGTAAATTTTTAGCTAGATGTTAAAAATATTTTTTTTTTTCGATTAAAAAGAGTAATGATATGTTATTAGCAAATGTCCTGCTTTAATTAATATTAAAAAATAAATTAAATAATTTCGCTTGARATATAACCTGAAAATAATTGTAATAAATTTTCGACACTCATATGTTTAACTAATTTATATAATTTAGAACTAAAAATAAAATATAAAAAAACTGTTATAAAAGCTTCTAATAAAATATATTGGTTGCCAAAAAAGTCTTGCGGTATTTTCGCTAGTTGGCGCTGAGAGCGCGTAGTTTTAGATTTATTCGTCGCATCGGGTCATGCTATACCTTTTTGGAAAGCTCATTTCACGCGCTAACACGTGATTGATTTATTTCGTTTCTTTTAAGTCGTTCGTGAGTTATAGC